AGCATCTCTCGGCTGAGTCAGCCTGAGCAGGCCGCCTCTCACAAACGCCGTCTGCTTTCCTTCCATTATTGTGAGCCGCAGTCATTAACTCAGTCACTGTGGATCATGATTAAACTGATTAATTGAATGAAGGAGGAAATAAGTCCCCCGGGTCCCGGTGAGGCCGAGTGCAGCTGAACGTTTGCGGTTAGCGGATGAGCGGCGTGCTCGAGTGACAGAAACCAACGGAAAGGACCAAAGAACAGGAAACTCATCAGAGACAAGATCACAGGCATGCCGGCGCCATTCATCCTCCATGTGACAAACACACAGCAGCCACACGCCACGTTCTGCGAGCGCGCTCAGTTTGCTGACTGAAATCAGTCCCGCCTCCGTTAATTATTCACCCGGAAAACTGAAAAATGATCCAGAGGGCTGATTATGATTCAGCGTATCATGTAAAACTGCTCAGAGAAGTCACAGCCGCCGCAAACAATGCGAGCAGATGTTCATTGGTAATCACACAAATGTCCAGCAGGGGCAGCAGCGAGTCAGTCCCCACAGCCAACAGGTTTACAGGCCGACACAAGCTGCTGGTTTCTATAGCACTTCCTGAACCTGCGAACATGTTTGTCTGTGAGTGACTGTAGGGTTTTTACACACAGAGAGGGCGGAGTCACCAGCTTCAGCGCGTCTGAAACGCTCTGATGAGTCAGCAGTGTGTCTGCGTAAAGCAGCCTATCACGGAGCTGCTGCCAGGTGTTCGACGGTGATGATGATGAAGGTGGAGCGGCAGCTGACAAACAGCTGACAAACAGGAATTCAGGATTTCCAGTGAAACATGGTCTCTGATTCCATCTGGTACCGATTAACAAAGAAATACCGAAATGAAAATGAAATCTCTTCGACACGAGCCGACTGCGTCAGCAGCAGCTCGGAGAAACGTTGACGAATCTGCAGCACGAGTTTAAAAGTTTTCTTTAACGAAGCGATAACAGGCGTGTGTGAACAGCACGAGGATTAAACCTGATTTAAAGCCGCGAGGAAAGCACCTTCAGCTCACTTAAGCCTTTATCAGGCTCCCACGGGCACCGTGCGAGGTGCACTTCACAGCAGCGCTCGGCGCTCCAACATCACTGCGGTGCGAAACGTTGCCGTGTGCGATGACCCGCTGCGACTCGGGATTATTCTAAAGCACAGAATAAAAGCTCTGTGTACATCAGCTGAGAGCGGGCGGCGTTTTCCCTCCACAGGTGAGAGATTGAGGTCCTTTGTTCTTTGATGCCGGTGCCGAACAAACACACGTCTGACCCTGCTTCAAAGAAAAGCTGCAGATGGAAAAAACAAACAGGGAATTTGAATAATTATCTTCCTTTTAGCTGCGTTTGAGACACAAACTGAAGAGCCGCTGTGTCCTTTATCTTTGAAGGGGTTTAGAAACAGACATCGTGTCACACGTGTGCTGCTTTTATTACTGCAAAATATTCACAAGACTGTCCAAAGGAGCTGCAGAGGAAAACTCAGAGAGTGTAAACGTCCTCGGCGCTGAGCGCATCACTCCAGCGCACAGCCTCGATCAACACCAGTTTAACCACAGTGTCCAGTTTAAAAGAGAGCCTGTCAGCTCGAGGCTGCGGCGTTCGCAGGTGGCGGCGTGCCGCTCTGCTCTGATGAAGGCAGAGCCAAGCATCAAGGTTTCATTTCAAAAACCAGACGTGGGCGGGGCCCAGCAAACAGCACTGAGGCTCAGCTTCTGACCTGGAAGCCTCCGGTGACTCTGCGGAGACGTCTGGACTGGCAAGGTGTGATTGGCTGGAGCAGGGAGTTGTGGGAGTGTCTGCTTGGACTGCTGGTTGACATGGTTGTGCAGGACAACAAAACCTGGCTGTGAGGCCTCATATTTGAGACTTTTTAAAGGCGCCCTGATAAAAATCATAGCTCTGTAAACCTGCTGAGGCTGTCACCAGGATGCAGGTGACCCCTCCCTCCTGCTAACAGGTGTGCTCACCTGCGCTCTGTCAGCTGCAGCTGCAGTGGACAGTTTAATGCGGGTCCTGACACTGTTTCAGAGTCCCACAGAGGGAAAGATTAGCTTTTTAAAATCATTAAAAGGAAGGACACCACAGGACACAGACAATATTTCTCCCCTTGTTCGTCTCCTCCCGCCTCCCCTCCTCCCTCCTGACATCTGCTGTTAATCCTCTCCAGGCCACAGACCCCGTTTCATCCCATTCCCAGCCTCAATTGAGATTAATTCAATTTATCACTTGTAATTTCTTCTAACCGCCAGTAAACGGCTCGTGTATTAGCCCGGGCTCCTCAGAGGGCCAAATTGATTCTGCATGCTGAGCGATGCTTTGTGCATTCAGGATACCAACACATGTCGACCGAAGGGGAGGAGGAGGAGGAGGGGAAGGAGGTCTTCCTCACAGCTGTGTGTGTGAGACACTGAAGGAGTTTGGTCACCTGCAGCCACATCTGGGGGTTTAAACAGGAAGTGGTGCTGCGTTTCACCGAGACCCTCCTTAGTGACCACTTCAGTGTGAGGACAGCAAGGTCCAGGAGGAGCGAGGTCAAGGAGGTCCAGGAGGAGCGAGGTCCAGGAGGTCTAGGAGGAGCGAGGTCCAGGAGGAGCGAGGTCCAGGAGGAG